AAAATCAATGGAAAGCACTAAAGACAAAAGGACTATTTTAACATCCTATCCTATTCAAGATTGTGTTTCTGTTTTTATTAGATCATAGATAAGTGCAATTAAATTTATAAGGTACAATATTTACATCACACGTCAGTTAATCAATGTGTATGTGTAATTAGTAATAATCAAAATAAGAGACTATTTTGAAAAAAAACTTTCCAAAAAAATATGACTCCGGTTAAATGATATGTGTTGGTAATATAGTGTTTGGTATGTATATGGATTGTATTTAAACAGTAAAATTGACATCTTAAAAATATGGACGATTGCCCCGCAGCAAGGACAAGAAAAAGGGAGACTGTGCAACACAGCTGAAGAGAATATTTTGCAGTAAAAGAGGCCTGGGTTTGTATAAAATATTCAGTACAGTGACAACCCTTAAAAAACATACAGGTAAGAGTCAGACCTGCCACACACGTTATGGGTTATTGAATTGGGGCTGTCTGTGTCACTCTCCCATGTCTCTTTCACTTTCTCATAAAATAACAAGCTATTTTCTACGCAGCCAGAGCATAAACATCGTCAACCGATCTCACCATGTGTCTTTCAAATACTGATCAAATGGATTTTGAGATGTGGATTCCCTAGGAAGTGTTCAGTGTTTTTTGTTATCCAATTTAAGCAGTGGATGTAATACACCTCAGTATAAAATTGGAATTATCAATGTGACCAGGGGAAAAAAAAGGAAGCTCATATTGTGTTATAGATACACTGTTTGAAGGTGAGTCGGCTGAAAGTGATATAGTGTGACAAAACAAATACAGAAGATATGCCACAAGGGAGCACTATAATAAAAGAACTGCTGAGGAGAGAGGGAGAATATGGTTTAGGCTTGAGCATACTACAATAAGACGGTTGTGGGTGTGAGTGTGTTTCGTGCTTGCATGGGTGGGTCGAGGGTGTGCACTTGCGTGTGTTGTGTGCTGTTTACAGGGCCTGAGCCAATGAAGATGCAGCTTGAATTCTTGTTACTCGATCAAAGTCCCGGGAGTAATCTCTCATAAGAACAGAGCACGGACAGGCAGGAGGATGCCCATTTCATTCTGAAGTGTATTAAATCCGGACACTCACAAACCAGTATACTCTAGCGTGGCAATGTAATTTTGGAGGGGAGGTGGATACAACAAGCAAAGAAGAATAAGGAAAAAAAAGTATTCATAAGGCTCGTGTTGCCACTAAACCAAGATTGGATGAAGAATAAAGGATGGCAACACGCCCCAGTGACTGGCCAGTGGAGGAACTCCCCTGTGTCCGAGCAGATATGTCTCTCCTTCTCATCATGGCGGGGCAATTTTGTCCCGGTTATAGCTCCTCCATCTTCTCCCAAGCTACTCCTTATTTCAGCATTTCAATTTCCTCCCTCGTGCAATCGCTGAGTGCTAACCTACTTCAGACTTTCTTTCAGACAAGAATGAGGCAAAAAGACGAGAGACAGCAGAGACAAGGAACTGCTGGGCTGCTCGGTCCAGTCCTGCTTCCGGTCTCCCCAAGGTGTGGGAATGCAGATTCAAAGAGAAAAATATGCCCGAAGATGATGCTGTGGTTAAGATCCCTACCCATGAACCACAGACATGGGTATGTTTGCAAAAGCCTGCCTACTGAGAGAACTTCATCTCCTGTGTCTCACTATTTTAAGGCACTCTCAGTTAAATCTAAATCGAAAAAAATAGTAAACAGTTCTGTCAGTAGCTGGACAACTCTATATTTAATAGAAACAACCATTATCTACATATTGAACATGTGAGAGTGAGGTATCTTGCTAAAAGGCACCTATCTGCTACAATGCTACCACAATGATACAAATGCTCAGAAGTTCTGAATTAATTATCAATCCCCCACAAACACACACACGTATCATCAAAATCAATTTTAACCAATCTGCTGTCAGTGTAATTGAACTTGTTGTCGTCTTTATGTCATGTCTTCAGATACCAGTCGCGGAGGAATTATCCCTGATGTAGAGACAGTAAGCATCCTGAAGACCCAGAGCACGAGGAACCTTTTCCTCTCTTTGTCTTTTACCCTTGCACATTAATCATTTTCATTTTCATTCATCTCCCTTTCCACAATATGCATGTCACTGTCACTATAATCCCTGCCTTTCCACCTTTCTTGGTTTCATCTTTCATAGTTCACATTTCTGCACCTCCTTCAACACTATCTTTGCGTCATTCTCTCTCTATTTCCATTTTTTCTCTGACTGTTTGCAATGCATCATATCTTTACCCCTTCACCCCATCTCTTTCACCCACCCAATGCCTTTTCCACTTCAACACCCAGGAAAATCTCTTTTTTCCCTGTTGCCCAATGGCAATGAAACATTTATCCACATCTGAGTCGTCTCCCCCCTGAGGTCCCCCTGAAATTGTCCTTCAAAGGCTTCCGCACAAGCTCTTTGCACTGCCTTATGTGTCCCCTAAATGACAACAAGTCAGAATGCAGGCAAATTTAAAAACAAAGATACAATCTAAATCTAATTTGAGTGGCTAATACCAGTGAGGACTGAACCCCTAGCTGTTTATGCTATTATCCACATATTAAGATGCGAAGGCCCAAACTGTATAAAATGTTAACAAATCCTTCTGAACTGGCGGAACATTCTGTGAACTTGTAGGGGACTATTAGGAGTTTAAAAGCATACATCAGGGCTATATGTCTTCATTAAAGTTGCCAAACATTAAAGACACTGAATCCAGTGAATCACTGTTAACACAACCACTTGTAGAACGTCATTCAACTGCAGGTATCCGACTGTAGTTAGAAATAAAATCTGACCATTACATGAGGAATATAGACACACTGAGCAACTGACAACAAATGGAGAGTCCCTATGCTAATCATAATCTCATTAAAAAAAGACATAGTCTACATGGCTGTGTGTGCACTCTTGTTTTGTTGTGCATAGAGGAATAGAGTGCAGGGTGTCAGCCAGCATCTTGAATTGTGGACTGAACTCCCCTGGGATTCAACCTGTAGCCTCCATCACTTCATAAGTGTGATGCATGAGACGGGAGGAAGTAAGATGGAGGCCACTTCTCTGCATTCACAAAACCATTTGGGACCATGAATGTCCTCATACCTGCTGCCACAGCCTCCAAGTGGTGCCCGAAGTGATGTGAAGGTATTCTCCCCCTTTCTGAAAGTGGGACATTGCTTTTCCCCAGAGAATGTAAGCTCCCAGCAAGTGCCTGCTTCTTTTCCTGAGCTGTAGTGTCTCTCAAAGTCTGCCCGACATTTAAAGGATTTGGGCCTTCGACTATCAAAGGGTGGCATAGCTGGGACTGTGGGAGAGCCGTAGCTTCAGCCCTGAGTTTGATCTAGCCTGGGGCACTACGGGTCAGCCTCCCAGATTAGGCTTGCTTTGGGGAGACATTGCTTCAGATAAACCCAAAGAAATTCAGGTATAGCAAATAAGTCCTTCTAGCAGTTTCTTGGCCTAGATAGACAACTATAGGGCAAGGGTCTGAATTCATTACCCGCTAACAGATGCTTCCTGCTAGTATTATGCTCACTGTGGGTGTAAGCACCAATGCCAAAATTGTAAACTTGATCTCCTTCCCTCATTTCTGTCTTAAGCTTATTTTCACAATTTGAAAATAAACGCAGTGTTTGTAGAATACAAACAGTTTTCAACTCCTTTTCTTTTATTGAGCAAGTACATTACGTGCAATGCATTTCTAGAGAATATTTATTACGAGCAATGCATAAATGTAGAAAAAATATTCCTGTGTTGCCTTGATCAACCAAAAGGCATGGATATGAGAGGAAACTGCAGATAAAATGCTAAAAAAAATGAACCAGGTGAAAGAAAAAACATAACAGTATTGCCATCTATCCTTGAAAAGCCTGGTCTCAACCCCGGCTTAGAGAACAACATGAGAACAACTCCAACATCCACTTTTTTCTCTAGAAAACAGTGGAACATGCTGTAGCCTCCCCAGATCAAAACCGCATGGAATCCTAATGACCTCTCTGAGCCGTACTAGTCTGAATCCCACTGAAACTACACCACAGCACTCGTCTAAGTTACAAGTGAGTAAATCCTCAACTCAGACTCCTCACTGGCCTCATCCTGCAGGAACCCAGGATCTTTCCACATCATCTAACAGATTCATATGATACTAAACTGAGTGTTGGATTTTCCATGCAAACTAACATAAACTTCACTTCTGTCATTTATCTTATATGGGTTCAAGCATGCCAAGATAGTAAAATTACTATTACTGCCAATAAAACAAACATAAAACAGTCAATCAAACCTGAATCGGTGCCTTCTTTTAACGCACATCCCAGTGAACTGTTTAGTTATTAATTAACCTCATACCAAAAAAACATAATGGTGTATCAGAGTTGTTAGGGATCTAAACGTTGATTGTTGCTGCACTGGGAACAAATACAGCAGTCTCCATGGCAACAGAAGACCGAGTTGTTGTTTCTATCCTGCCAAACAGCGGTGAGCCGTGAGAAGAAGCACGGAGGATGAAGTTCTTTCATTAATGTTTAACTAAGATGCCATTGACATTTAAGACACAGTCCACGCCCATGATTACATACTGCTGTTGTAGAGGAAAATATGGCTTAATGACTGTCATCTTTTAACACACAGTATAAGAAACGCATGCAGGAATATAATGGAAAGGATCTCTCAATTTCTATACATTCAAAACAAATGAAAATATAAATTTCTCATTGAATTTCTCTTTCATTCGTTTATACATTATGCAATAGGAATCATCTATATTTTGATCTTTGACTGACTAACAACCCTTACCAAAAGGTTTTTCAATAGAAAGATATCTCAAGGAGTAAAGGTGTCTTAGAGTTTTCCTCTCAGTTTTTTTGTGGTGTGCAGAGCTGCTTCCTCTTTGCCGAGAGCAATTAGGATGAAATGGAGTGGATGAATACATAGGTACACACAGCAGCATAAATGATAAGAAAACAAAACACAAAAAACTTACCTACATCAAGGGTAGCAGAGCAGAGAAAAAAGGAGAGATAATCATTTTAAGGCCCTTAGGAAATAATAAAAACACAAGTATATATTAGCGTTACTTTTACTCAACAAAGTGTGAAGTATTTGTACTTGCTAATTTATGCTATATGCTACATCGTTGCGGCATCACAGAATGAACAAAGAATGACCACAGATGTATCCATCATATCTTTATGAATCAACACATGCAATAGTACAATAAACAAGTAAAATGTGTATCAGGTTTCTGTTAGTGGTGCCACTTTAAGCACTGCTCACAGATGAAGTTCTGGTTAAACGTTAATTAACCATTCTTATGGGAGTTGAGTCCTAATTGGATGTTGTTGATGATCGATCAAACCCATTTGAAGATAGACACATAGATAATATCTCAAGGGATAGATTCTATAACACATTTTCAAGATAAACACCACAACAAAATAAGATTTTTGTCCTCAAATAGGTAATTTAATTATTTACAGGCTTCCTACTATGTGACAGTGGTAGATCAGTAGTTCTGTCCTCAAAAAGCTTTGGCCAGCAGGGAGCATATACATCATGTGGATTTACTCTCAACCAATAAAAATATAGATGCTGGGGATCACATTTTATGGTGTGATAGGATCCCTGTCCCAGTCAGCCCAGCCGGCAACCAACGTTGAGAGAGGAAAGTGAGTGGATAGGGTGAAAAATGACATCCGCATACCTGTTCTCTCCCATACATCATTCAGAGGGCAGTTTTTCGATGGAGTGTGAAAAGAGGGAATGGAGACATTGGGTGAAGGCGGTGTGAAGGTGTGTATGTGGGTTGGTGGATTGGTAGTGTTCTGCACTATGCCTCTTGTGAGCTTCCGGGACCTTGCACAAGCCTCTGTGCTGATATCCATTCTTCCGGGATGAGACTTGATTACTATTCATTATTGGTAGTATTGACTTTTCTTAGCTACTCTTCCTAGAACTCAGGCGGCACGGCACAGAACATTACCTTCAAAGGTCATAAAGATAAGGCTGAGTAATTATTTTGTGCGTCTATGGGTGATAAGCACCTTGCATGTGACTCAAGAAGCAAATTCAATCAAACCAATCATAGGCAATAATAAAACAATAACAACAATTAATCAGCAGAGTTATTTTGTATACATATGATGTGGCAGCAATCGTTAATTGTGTACAGACCCTGCATCTTAATAAGGATGGAACAGTACCGAGGCTAACTGAATAAACATCCACATAACAAACAAAATAGTTTAGTGAAAAATCAACAGTCCCTCGGTGCTACTTGGTGCTTTATCTACCCCATTCACCTCACAATGCCCTGGGATATTTGCACATTTTTCGCGTTTAAATAAAATTATTTATTTGAAACTACATCACACCCCTAAGACTATTATGATCATTCTTAAATCTATTTTCTTTCTAAATGAGTTAATGCTTTTATTTCAGTTCGATATCAAATCATTTCCCCTGATGTGGTTGACTCTACAGGTCTTATCCATTAAAAAAGGCAATAAAACACAGCATGCTACTCAGAGAGGCAGTACACAATTCATTATTGTACTATGAGGAAAACAATAATAATACAATGATAGCAAGTGATTTGCCCTCTTTTCCACTTGTGCAACAGCTTTGCCAAAAACTAAAATATACAGTACATGTTGTTGAGAGTCAGATTGATTTAACTTGGATTTACTATGTGATCAGAGAACAAGAGTAGGCTGCAGTGATTTCCAGCCATACAGCACTAGCTCAACGGAGGAATCGCCATCCATAAAAAGCCTCCTGTGGTCTGAGACAGAACACGACAGAGCGTTAATTACCCAGGCAACACTGGAGAACAAGGTAAAAGGCGTGTTAATGAAATACTAATAAGGTTCCAATTTGAGTCCTTCGGCTTTGCCATCCTCTAAAGTGATCTCAAGGACTCAAGTTCCTTCCGTAGCTAGTCTCTATTATTGCTAATTACCATCGCTCACATGACAGAAGGCAGTTTAGAAACCATTATTTCTGGGGGATGAATCCTTTGTGTGTTGTCCTTTGATGGAGGACACCCAGGCCGGTTTACTGGATGTCAGAATTGAGGGACAGAGAGAAATGCTAAAACCCCTAAAACTCCTACAGAGAGAATGAGTTTTTTGTCTGCCAGACATTTTGCCTCGTCCATTCTGTCATTTAACAGTTGAGGAACAACATACTTTGGGTTCTCAAAAGGGATAATGTTTATGGTAGTCTTAGTATTGTTCTAATTTAGCTACTTTGAACAGCTGCAGTATTTAGTTATAAAGTTTAGTCAAGTGTCCATTTTTCCTTGCAACTAAAGAAAATACTCAATTTGAGTCAGTGTTGTTCAGTCTTCAGAGTTGTCTAGTAAGTGTAAATCTGAGGTTAGGATCTTCAAGGAAGGTAATGGAATTTCCACTATGGGCATCCTGCAGGACCAAACAGCCATTTCACAAGACTGTGCGCTGCACTGAACCCCAAACTGATAACATAAGTCAAAAGGAAACTCTTCAAGTGTTGGCGAGCAGCAAGTAGAGGGAAAGCAGACAGGGATGGGAGATATTCTCAAAGACATTTGAAGATACAGCAATTTCTCTGAGGCAATCATTTGATGCTCTCATTGCATGATGGCTGAGTGTCACTACTTTTGCGCTCCCATCACTCAAGTGCATCCAGCACTCCAAGAAATTGATTGTTGGAGGATAGGGCTGGAACAGTGCACACATACAAAAGTACACATCTAGCCTGGAATAAAACTGTTTCTTTCAGTACTCGAAGCAGCTCATGTAACTCTGCCTGAAAATCGATTTCTTGTTGATGGATTTAGCATTAGCTCAGCAATGAAAATACAGTCAGTCTACTTTATATTATCACCACTTGATAAAGTTGGAATAATTTCCAGTGACCAAATGTCACATTAAACCAAGAAACGCAGACAAAGGAAGAAACAGTTGAAAGTATATACCAAAATCTTTTGGCAATAATTTGGCAAGTCATATATACATTGTTTTGTTTGACTAAAGTCCTACATCTAAAATGAAAAAAATATATCTTATTTCTTTAGACAGATTCAAAGATTAAGATATTAATCTTTATGTATATAAAGATTCTGTATATATGGCAAACCCTTAAAAGCTATCTGCTATTACACAGGGGCTCTGTGGACGTCTTGACGAGTACAACTCTCTTATATCAGGTATAGAAACAGATTAGTTCAGCAGATTATTTTCCTCTTTGGAGCAGGTCCGCTATCATTATTGCATATTATTTCCATGATCTCAAATGAAATATTCAAAGCATCGCCTTGTATTGAAATGACTGAAGGTCAGTGGAGGTTTAGTATTATTGAAAATCTGACAATTATTACTATAGTTCTATCATACAATTGCTTTACATAGATTAATTCCTCAAAGCATCATGAAAAGGGTATTAGTATTCAGACCCAAACAGCAAATCCAGAACTCGTTCTAAAAATTGCTGAAGGTCACGATCAATGCCGGCATGTCACAATATTAGAATATTCTACTGATCTTCTGTCAAAGACAAAGGACTAAATCCTGAGACTTGTGTGAGAGCCTTTCTACAATGCAGTGTATGGTCTGTTTTGTGAGCCTGTGTTGTTCGTTAGCATTGCATGTGTTTCTTCTTCAGAAGCTCAGTGTCTCCATATGATTGCATCTGAAGTGCTAGGCTGCTGGGTCATTTTGTCTCCATGCTACTTTTAGAAGTCTAATAAAATCTGATGATTCGGTCTTATGGGAAAGTTTAAAAGCAGTCATGAGAGGACATATTATTTCATATAAATCATGGAAGAGTATAAAGCAGGATACAGCTTTGCAAGACATGGAGTCTGACATACGCCGGCTAGAACAGTCTTACCAGTCTACTCCAACAACAGGCACCTTGGGTGAGATCACCAAGTTGAAGTGTGAGTACAACACCATACTTTCTAAACGTGTGTGTTCTCAAATGATGAGTTCAAGACAGAGACTGTTTGAGTTAGACGATAAGCCACATAGGTTGCCGGCAAGGCAACTGAGACATTCTCAGGCATCACAGGCCATACTCCAAATAAAGAACAAAAGAGGACAGACTGTTACAGATCAGCAGGGAATAAATAAATGTTTTGAGGATTTTTATCGCAATCTATATAGCTCAAACAATACTACTAGTAATGATGAAATTAAAGAGTTCGTGGAAATGTGTGATCTACCCAAACTTGATCATGATGCTGCAGCAGAGTTAGATGCTGAGATCACTCTAGATAAAGTTAAAGCAGCAATAGTCCGGTTCCCAAATAATAAGGCTCCCGGGCCTGACAGGTTTGGGGCAGAATTTTATAAGGCATACAGCTCACTGCTGGCACCTTTAATCCTGCGTATGTTTAATCGCTCTAGGGAAGTGGGCTCCTTAACTAACTCACTATATCAGGCAATATTGCTCTACTGCTGAAAAAGGACCGGGACCCCACGAATGTCTCCTCATATAGACCTGTGTCTCTTCTCCCGTTGGAATCTAAACTATTAAGCAAAATTCTAGCTAACCGTCTCAATAGTCATATTTCCAGAATCATTCACCCAGATCAGACAGGGTTTATCCCTAATCGACATATATACTTTAACATGAGAAGACTATTTAACATATTATATAGTCCTCTTTGTGATAGGGAAGATACGGTTATAATATCCCTCGATGCCGAAGGCTTTAGACCAGGTAGAATGGCCATATATGCTGTCTGTATTGGCAAGATTTGGATTTGGCAATTCTTTCATTAAATGCATCAAGATTTTATATAAGGAACCCATGGCCTCTGTAGTCACAAACCTAAATAAATCTGGTCCTTTTCGGCTATATAGAGGGACACGCCAAGGAGATCCTCTGTCTCAATTTATCTTTGCTCTTGCTCTGGAACCTTTAGCCTCCTATATACGCTCTAGCCCCGAAATACACCCTACAACACATCTAGGAATTCAACATAAGCTCTCCGCCTACGCTGATGACGTTATATTATTTATTTCAGACCCCAAAGCCTCTATATCTACA